ATACCAGGGGTGATCCAACCAGGAAGTTGTGGACCCTATATTTGTTTGGTTATATGTTCATGTGGTGGTACTTTGAGGGAAATTCACTAAGCTTTGTGCTTACAATTTTAATTTATGGTTTCAGGTACTTCAAAAGATCGTGGGAAAGCAAAGGTGTGATCATGCACAACTTCCTGTTTTTATGGCTTTGGGTCTTAGGAAAACTCTGATTTTGAAATAATGTTTTTTAAACAATGAATCCTTTGTAAACAAAAATGTTAAATTATGTGGAAGGTATTATTGGGCCTATACTACTGGAAGTACAAGATCCATAATCAAATTGAGGAAAATTCCGGGGATTTTAAAGGTTGATCGGGGAAGATAGCATGGTTTGATACCATGATTCGTGGCAATGGTTTTGTATCTATCAATCTTTTAGTTATGGTTGTTCGGGCATGAGGATGGGTATGGTAATTGTTTTGGGCCTCAGTGGTGATGTCAGCTTGGGTTCGAATGGTGCAGACGTAGTTTAGTTTATTGGTTTTGAGGTCTCGAGGGCCTTGCTCGAGGTCGTGTTTTGAGTTGCAGGACTCAAGAAGGAAACGATTGTTAAGATTGGGTTGAGGATTACAGCTGGAAGCTGAGTGGTTGACAGATGGATTAGACTATTGCTATCTATGGTGAGGATTATGTCTTGATAGTTTTCCAAGAGGGAGTGAGCAGGCTTTTTGTGACTTTCAGATTTGGGATGTAAACCCAGCATGGGAGCTAGTTGGCTGTGATGTTTGGCGTCAATATGACAGCATGGAAATATGTAGGAGGATTGATGTGGTACGAATGCTTAGTGATGCGATCAAGGGTATGTTTTCCTTGGACATAGGCAAGTAAGGTATCAGATTGACGGTTGGGATTGTAGGAAAGGGGTGTGTGTTTTGGATAGTAAGTTGGTGTTTTGCTTATGCATTTGCAGGAAATCCTTAATGTTAAAGGTAGTTATGATTGGAAACTTTTATGAGGTCTTCATCTGAAATTCTGAATCTCTAAGGTTTTGCTCAGTCCTTATCTGGAAGATCATCATGCGTGTGTTATACGTTCCAAGAGTCAGGGATGCTTTGTACTTGGTTGAGTTGGTTTGAGATATGGTTTGATTGCAACACCAGTGGGTAGTATTTCAAACCCTAAGTGGGGGAGAACTAGGTATAATGCTTGGAGGATCATCGATCTATTTGAGTTTGTGGTGGTGGAAGAATGGTTCATAGGGATCTGCGGTACGAGTATGTGGGATTTCAGTTTAAGACTTGGTCAAGTTAGGGGTGTAGAGCAAGTGACTATTAGATGTATGTGTCTAGGAAATACACGAGTTACCTCGTATCCAGAAGTAGTTGTTCAAGGAGCTCGTTATAGACATTGGTTCCTTTTTGGGATGCCAATGAATAAATGAGAAGGCGCTAGGATTGCTCAGGTTGAGTATCAGTTGTCGAGGGACTTGTCAGCTCGTTGTATGGATTGCTATTTACAGTCTAGATTGAGCAGTTGTCGATCGGTAAATCAGCTTTAGAGATGGGTATGTTCAGCTCCATGCAGGTTTTGGTTCATTAGATTAAGTGTCAATGTATCCTCGATCGCTGGTCCTTTCGTTCATCATAAAGCGGAGGTTCTTCAAAAGTTTAGTGTTGTGTTAGTTGAAGTTCAATGGATGCGTCAACCTATTGTCAAGTTCCGTATGTTTTATAATTTCTTTGGTTTCTGGGTATTTTCACCCTCCATTGTGGTGTGGAATTTTGGTTCATAGCAGGCTCAAGTTTGGCACTTGACCTTGGTTATTGGAAGTTCGGATGTTGGGGCAACATTATTCAGTTTCCCAGGTGTAACTTTAACCTATGTAGAATCTAGTTTTTGGCATGTTGTGGCGGTAGGATTCGTTGTGGGATTGATCCCACTAAGGATTTCCCCAAGGGATTTCGGGTTTGCTTCAATTGCAACCAGACAAGGTATTTTTTCGATCCAATAGTCTATATCCACTCTTAAATCAACGGTTAGATTAGGCATTAGGTGTTTCAATTAGGAGCCACGTGTTGTAGCGTCGAAATCCAATTTTTGCGAAAAAGTTAGAGTTCTATCCAAATATTAGATTATTTTATGCTCTACAAAATATTAAGATGTTTTTGCGAAACACAGCTTAGCTAACCTGATGAATCATTTGAAGTTTCGTTTTTATGATTACAATCCACTTGTCATATGTTTATTATCCGTTTCATACGAATAATTGTAACTTTTGTATGCGAACTCTGATTTCAACATTACTTATATCCGTGGTTTTCATAATTACATGTACTCTTGGATTAGCGTATCACGTATACATAATAATACTTAATATATATATATATATATATATATATATATATATATATATATATATAATATATATATATATCAAATCATTACTCATGTATAATGACAAATGGTTGTTTCTCGACGATCAACACAAATCGAAGATTTCTATGATATTGCGGATGCATTTGTTGAGTGTACGAATTTTAAAAATGATTTAAAATGTTTACATTAGATCTATTACATGTGTATTCAAAATGATTGCTTGACGCTTTTTTGACCTAATTTTTCCAATTGTCACAGTTGTCCTACATTGTCTCCAAACAAGTAACAACATAAACATCATGTTTTGTTCTTTTTAATGTTATATTCTAACCATTGAAATTCTTCAAACCATTCCATCACAAAACGTCTTTGTTTCTCACCAACTTTTTTTGATAGAAAATTATGCCCATTTAATTGAAAAGGTCTTTTAATTAAATATGCCCTTTTTATTTCATCTTTTGATTTGAATTATAAAATCTAGTTTTTGGCCTATCCTAGATGTTCAAAGCTTGTTGATGTATGTGTAGTAAGATAGGTTGTGGTCTTTGTGGACTTTGTCATTCCTTTTGGAACCCAAAAGATCATTCACCATTTGCATCACTAACAACATCTAACTTTCTATTTATAAAAATTACCATTGTTAACCTACATTAAAAATTTACAATGAAAGATTTCAACAAATTAATTAGTATAACTTACTAACTAACAAGTAATAACTAATTTGATGATTCAACAAAAAAAAAAAAATGATTTCAAAAACCAAAAACAAGTAATACGTAACCCTAATCAACCAAACATAATTACTAATTTCTAGTTTTTTCAAGTTTTCAAGAAAATGTGAAATAATTGAAATAACCTTTACAAAAATTGCTTAAATACTTAATGCTTACTTGTTTCATTCTTGCATCTTGCAGGTGGAGTGGAAGGGTCGCTGGAGGCGTGAGACTGTCGGACGCCTGCAGTGGCGGTGAAGGCTTCTTGAAAACACGTCGACAGAAGTTGGAGGAGCAGAGACGTGTGTGCGTCGCTGCAGAGCAGGAATCCTTTCCGTTTCTTTCTTTAATATAATCGAACCAAGTCACCAACTTCATTAAAACTTCTCCAACTTCATTAAAACTTTTGGCCATTTTCTTTAGACATTGGGCTCTTTTTCTTTGGGCTATTCAATTGATTCATTATTCAAATTTGGACTATTTTGTTAGACTAAAAAACTTGGGGGTAACACAATTATTTTTTATGGTTGCACATATAGTAAAACAAAATTTTGGAAATTTTATTACTACAATTTGAGAGGTAGCTAATCCGTGCATACATTATGGTCTGAAAATGCTTAAAATGTCTTTCAAAATTAAGTATCTTTCTTGAAAATTGATGCTCAGTTAATGTACATATATACAACTAATGCAAAGAAGCTAATATCCCCAATGTTTTATAGAACTCTAAGAAGACAATGATAGAAATCTAGAATATTTACTAGCTATGTGATATGAACTCTTGTGCTACATGCATGGGATAAAGCAAAAACATGAGAAGCTATGTGATTTGAACTCTTGTGCTACATGCATGGGATAAAGCAAAAACATGAGAAAGGCTACGGTTGATATAAAGCTTTTGCCGCTGGGGATGAAAACAAGGTTTATACTTTATACTTGCCCACAAATTTGCCATATCCACATGTAGCAATAACTCCCTTTGAACATTGGTACATATCAATGGAAAGCAAAATTCATAAGCCATCTCGTTAGCACACTATGCAAGTTTTGTGTTACTTAGCTTGATGCACTTTTGAGCTTTCATGTTGTTGAATCCAATTATACTAAAAGAAATTATAATGATGAGCTATACTTGTCCTATTAACATATTATTTTATCATATTAGTATTTCATACATATGCTTATCAAACTATCTAATCAACTGTATAAGTTAACTAATCACAAGCAAAATAGTCTTTGCTTTGGTGATTTTGTAGATACTGAATAATTTTAAAATATATCAAAACATAACCATTGATCTAGTTTTTAAACGGTTTTTTAACTGTCAAAAAAGAAACTTAAGAATTACTGGCAAACCAGATAAATGGATCGAAACAAAAAAAGTTGGGAAAATGTGAGGTGTTTTTTTTCCCACTAAATTTAGGTGTAAGCAAAAAAAAAAAAAAAAGAAGATATTTTACATAATTAACCCAAAATATTAATAAATAATGTACATAAAATTATGAAATACTCAAAAACATATTTAGTAAGGTATTCTAACAAAAGAAAAACCAAATTTTATGTGTAGAAGTTACCCTTTTAAAGACAACCCGTTTACACTAAACTTGAATTTAAACACAAGTCACAAGGTCTGGTTCAACCGACAATCTAACCACCACAAAACCATGTGAAAACGATTCATGTTCATTTCTCAACATCAACACGGGTTCAAGGGTCATTTTCATTTTCAAATATGAACATGTTTGTTTAATTATGAACATGGGTTATTGATGTAGATCCTATAACTTGTGATGTATATTGAACCAAACTTTCAAACACAAACACGAGACTCGAAACAAAAAAACGATTACACATTATTAATTAAATATAGTCGTCAACTTTAAGATGCGACCAAATGATTACACTTGAGCAAATCCAAAAAAAAAAAAAAGCACCGAATCTTTGCAACATATAGAAACAGTTCCCAATAAAAATATATAAATAGTTATACAACAGTTTCTCCTTCACACGTTCAAAATAATGTATTCTTGCAAATAACTAATTTCATAAAACCAATGAAAAGATTGTAAATAAATTCAAATACGATGAATTGTGGTTATGCCTTAATTGTGACACAGCACAAGCACAAACCAGAGGGCTTAATATTTGAAGTCTGCCATTCTGAACCAGGGGGTGCTTTTGGATCATACAGCAAAGTGTTATAACCTCCCTCCTCTTCTTCCAATGAAAAAAGCAACAACTTTTCTTCCATTATTCCAAACCGGAATCCCACACTTGAGCTTCCAATCACAGGCACAGACGCCATCTTCCACGAGTTATCCTCCGGGTTAAATATCGCCAGTTTTCTTTGGTTCTTCCATTCCATACAAAACAGCTTCTTCCCCACCACCGCATGAGCCGTCACCATCACACACCCGTTTTTTATCTCCCACCATTTGTGGTTTTCCGGATCGTACACATCCACAAACCTATTTTCAAATGCATCAAAACATATCATTACTTACAGGACCAGGTTGTACTACATTTGACATGCATTGGACCGAGACCAGTACCAGTACCGATGCCAATGAAACAAAAATCTAAACTTTTTGTCCCATCCAAAAAGGTGGGACATGGACTCGCTCTTGATCTCTCGTCTGTGCAAAAGACATAAATGCCCTCCTCGTTCTCATTGTCGAAAATAGCCCGACAAAACTTGTCCTGTCCCATCCAATCTTGTGTACCAAACACAGTCTGCGACTGTGTTTGTTGCACGAGGCAGGACTAAATGGGACTGGACAAGCTTTGTCGGGCTATTTTCGACAATGAGGACGAGGAGGGCATTTACGTCTTTTGCACAGACGAGAGATCGAAAGCGAGTCCATGTCCCACCTTTTTAGGTGGGACAAAAAGTTTAGATTTTTGTTTCATTGGTATCGGTACTGGTACCGATCTCAATCCAATGCATGTCAAACGCAGTACAACCTGATACAGATTATCTTATATAAGTGTTGTGGGATGAACGAACCTTGAATTTCCGATTGTGAAGCTTGACCGACCGCCCATAACGTAGAGCTTACCCTCGAACGCACAAGCAAAGCAACCCCAACGTGGGCGGCGAATCGACTCGATTACAGTCCATTTGTTGGTTTCAGGGTTATAAGCCTCGGCACATGAGAGAGACTCTCCATCCATCCCATAACCCCCAACCGCATAAATCACACCATTAACTTCAGCACAAGCAAAATCATATCGCGGCACATTCATGTTTGCAATCTTGCTCCAGCTGCAATCATGAAATTATAATTATAATTCATATTAAAACAACAAACTTATGAACCACTCTTTCTTTATATATTAAGCATCTATATTGATATATAGATAAAGATAGAAACAAAGATACCTGTTAAGGCAAGAATCATACTGATATACATCAGAGGACACAGATCCAACACCATCAATGATGGAATAGCCAGCCATGACAACAAGTTTCCCGTTAAGAGCCACAACACCAAAACCAGCTTTTACAGGGCCAGGCATGGGAGACAAGACAAATCGTTTATTTCCTAAACAATCCAAAACCTCCCAATGAGTCCCTTCTCCTTCACTATCCATAGTCAAAACATAAAGCCACTCCTCAACCAAACCAGCAAGTTTCCTTACAACAATAAACTCCTTACTTTTCATAAAAGACCTCCATCTCCTTGACACTCCTCCCATTCTTGGAAAATATGACCTCGGAACAAGGGCAAGACAGTACTTTGCAATATCATCGGGCAGCCCGGGCAACATCGGGCAGGCAAAATCATCATCATCATCAACAACAACCTGAGAACCGGTCTTCCTCACCAATTCCATCACACCAATCTTTTAAGGGGAAAAAGGTAAATTCTTCACAGTTGATTAATTGATTCTTCTTGATTAGAAGAAAAGAATAGGAATGAAATTTGAGTTGATTTTACAAAAATTCATGGTACCCTTTACTTATAGGAATTTTACGAGGCCAATGCATGCATGAGGTTGCAGTACTGATGACTTGAGTTGTGAAAGCTGATGATTTTTTGTGTCTTGTCCAATCTGATTCAAATTCCATGCCAATTTTTGTGTTTCTAGAATACTTTTCTGTCTTTCTTTCACCCTGAATCACACCAACTTCTAAATTTTCGCTTTTGCTTTTAATCCGATACAGTGGCAAATCTGTTTATAATTAAAAAAAAATGAATTCACCATGAATCAAATCATATAACCAAAAGAGAGAAAGAGATGTCCGTCCATTAACTTTTAGGTTAAAGTATTACTTCTCAAATTCAAGATACAAATTTACAGGACTTTTGAATTCAAAAAATATGGTCAAAGTGGACATTAAAGAACAAATGAAATAATTAGAAGTAGATTATACCAGTCAAGGCCATATAAATTAGCTTAACCCCCTCTGACTTCCATTTTTCCTATAATAAAAAAATTAATCACCTGCAATAAAAAGAAAAGGGGAAGGGGAGTTAATTAGATTATAATCCAAGCAATATATTTTTAACATTTAAAAAGGTATATGTCATATTTAGCAAGAAGCAAGTGTTATGTATGTAGGTTTTGTTATGATGGATTCACATATTATGTCAGACAATTATCATGTGTACAATTAATTTTGCTTTGTTTAGGTGCTTTATCAAGATTAATCTATGAGATTGGCAATTGGTCAAAGTGAATTAATGATTAGCACTTAATTGAATAAACACTACACATGATTGATCTATTACAGCACTAAACTTACAGATAAAACATTCTAAAAGGGCAATACCTAGAAACACACCTACCCACCAGATACCACCCCCACCTACCCCACCAAACACCCAATAATGAATTCAAGAAAAAGGGAGAAGCATTAGATTCACGTGTTCATAAAGCTTATACCACAGTTTGACAATAGGGATGATTAGGTTTACCAAATTGCATCAATTATTAGTTTAATGCGACAAAACAAAAGCAATTTCTTGAAAAGGAAGAAGATAATGAGTTTGGCCATAAGTTTGACAATTACGGCAGATTTATTCTTCATAATTTGACTATTGGAACCTAATAGTAATCATTTCACAGCAAAAGTCAAACCTTATGATTATCTTCAGAAGCCAAAAAACAGCAGGTGATCCACAAACGTTGAGTATGGATGATTGAATTTATGAAAAGGAATAGAATTAGAAAGAATTTTTCTCCTAAAGATAATGGCGATCAATTGTTTCTTTCACACAGGGTAATTAATCAACAGCATTGAGTTCATCCTCAATAGACAAGAAAGAAATTTAGGGTTTACCCAAAAGGCGGGGGAGAAAAGGGAGTATGAATCTAAAAGAAAAGAAAATTCCAGATATCTTGCAGAGATATACAAAATAAAATAAAATAATTAGATCTATCAACAAAATCTATTAAAGCAAGAAAAAAACATGCGCCTAATTTCGATCTTACGTCAATATTTCCACAAGAATCATGAAAAGCAAGTAAGCACAAAATACCCAGATTGAGTTAATTTTGAGAAAACATCCATTTAGATCTTACAATGGCATGAGGAAATCAGAACAAACTGTAAACAATCGAACAAAATGACAAAGAAAACCGCATCAAATTACGTCGAAACCAAAACGTATGAACAAAAACATGCGAATATATTACCTGAAGAGACGAGAGTTTGAGTGGATTAGATGTGTTGTTACGATAGGAGTGGATGATTGATAGCAATGTAGGCGGATTGATATAGAGACCCTAAAATCAAGGTGAAGGGATAAAATTTTGACAGAATCAGACCCACGTCAGTCAATGTCGGGATGATAAATTGGATGAGATTTCGAATATCGACCCATGCGGTGATGAAAGTGACCAGAATTTGCTTGTGCAATTTAATCCATTTCTTTTTTAATCTGCCAATAAAAAAGTAGCAGTTCGTGGTGCTGGATAAAATTATTAATTCGTGGTGCTAGATTAAATTATAAAGAAAAATAAATAGATAAAATTATATATTGTAAATTTGTAGTTGCATGTGTATATAGTCAGATAGGTAGCATAATTAGTTGAAACCAGTTGGATAGAAATGAATAATTCAGTGTTAAAATAAAACTGTCAGCATATGAGGGTTATATTTTGTATTTATCAACAGTTAGAGGTAGTTTTTGTAATTAATCCTAAGTAGCTACTATAAGACCAAGTGTATTGTATTTTCTTTTACGTTTTTTTAATCGGAAAATACCGTAAATATTCAAAAAATAGGGGTATTTTCAAAAAATATACATAAAAATAAACTTTTCCGGATATAGACATGCATTCCGCAGAGGTAGTTCCGCGGAATCTACTGTAGCTCCGCGGAATGGCAAAATCGTAAATAAATCAATGTATTAAAAAAAAAAAAAACCCCTCAAGATCCATTCCGCGGAGGTAGCTCCGATGAATGGATCTTTAGTGTTTTTTTTTTTCCTTCCTCACATCAATTTTTCGGGGTTTATATTCATTTCCCAATCTAATTGTTTTTAAGAAAAGATTATCATACTATTATAATCTTTACCTGAAAATAATTAGTTGAAGAATTAATATAAACCTCGAAAAATCGATATGAAAAAAAAAAAAAAAAAACCCTCAAGATCCATTCCGCGGAGGGTCCTCCGCGGAATGTATGTCTATAGCTGGAAAAATCAAATTTTGTGACTAAATTTAGAAATTCACCCCCATTTTTTGTCTAATTATGGTATTTTCCCATTTTTAATCGAATACGGAGGCATCGGTTGCAGTTTCTACGACATATCCAAACTTCATCCCCTTGATCTATTGATCCATATATATGTTTTACTACATGATATTAGAGAGCTTTAAGTATACTTCAACTAAAAATTATGTTATCATTTTTTTTTCTTTTAATGAATCGGTATTTACATATGCATTTTATCAAGCCCTAAACATATCTTGAATGAAGGCGATGCCCTTATTTTACTTACTTGAATCACTTTGTTAAAGTAGCCATAACCCACCCACCGTCCCACTTAGAGGTCGTTTGATAGTTGCTAATTGGGTTAGAAGCTCTGACTGGATTAACTTTTGACTGAAATTTGTTGTTTGATTTTGCATCTGTCTGACTGTACAAAATGACTATATTACCCTCAAACAACAATTTTTTTTTTGTAGTAATTCCTTTATGCTAACCATTTAATTTATAATTTTACCGTGTAATTTACTACCAATCTAAAAATTTTTTGCTTATAAGAACATAACAGAAGGATAAAATGATGTAATTTACAACTATTCTTCAAAAAAAACTAACATGGAGGTTCAACTATACATGTTAAAAACAGCTATGAAGAAGCAATTTGTAACGACCCGTTCCCGGTATGTTGATTTATTGGTAATTATAGTGAGTTTTTCAAGAGGGACTCGGCGAGTTCTAGCCTGACTCGCCGAGTAGGGTCGCGTCTGAGGGCACGCGTGAGCCGGGGACTCGACGAGTCCATATCCCCGACTCGGCGAGTCCATCTGTCTGGGTGAAACCCTAAAATCCCCGGGTTGCCCACTATTTATACCACCTTATAGCCCCCATTCTCGCATCCCTCACCCTGAGAACGCAGTGATAGAGCCCCAAACCTCCATTGAAGAGCTTATATGTGTTTTGGTGCCATTTTGTGAAGGTGTGAAGAAGGAGAAGAAGGAAGAAGCAAGGAGAAGTGTTGTAGTGCAAAGATCCAAGGCCAAATCAGAGTTAATTGAGGTATTTTCGGAGTTCCATCTTTTATATGCTTTAAACTTCCATTAGAGCTCTCCTAAGAGCTAGTTGATGCTTGTTCCAAGCCTTACACTTGCATGAACGTCTTATTAAGTCGATATATCTATGGATCTGAATGTTGGGGTGTTGTAGAGCCCAGATCTACTGTCTTTTTGGAGTTATATTGCATGATAACCATAGATCTACCCATTTTATGCATCTTTTAGCCTTATTTCCCTTATTCATGAGGTTGTGCACGTAAAGTTGGAAACTTTACGTGGTAAAACAGCTTATTGGACTCAGATCTATCAATTGTATGCATTGGATTCAAACAAAATCAAGTAAAAATCAGTTGCATGGCGGCGACTCGGCGAGTCGGAAGAACGACTCGACGAGTCGGGTCGCGAGTCCCGAGTCCTTCAGTTTTATCAGTGTCGAGTGGACGAGGTGAGTCAGGAAGTGGACTCAGCGAGTTGAGAGTAGACTCAGTGATGGAGGGACTCGACGAGTTTGTTCATACAACTCGGCGAGTCCAAGGCAATCTTCTTGGGATCAAGAACAACTCGTCGAGTCTGTTCATACGACTCGGCGAGTCGGATGAAGATTGTCTGAGTTCTTGGATCAAGAGGGTACTCGTCGAGTCGATGCCAGACTCGACGAGTAGCAGTGAGTAAGGGAAAAGTGAGAGTAGGACTCGGCGAGTTGGGTGGCCCAACTCGGCGAGTCAGCCCAAAAGAGAGTTGACTTTGACCAAGGGTAAAAGAGTCATTTTACCCCAAGCGCAGTGTTTAGTATTTGATTGAGTGTGTTTATGGACTTGTAGCCGAGGAGATTCAGGAGCAGCCGCCGTTAGCTTCCGAGCCACACACTCAGCAGCCAGCTTACGAGGTGAGTTTCCTTCCAGTAGGAACGGGTCTAAGGCCACAATGCCGGCCCGTTCAGTTAGCAGTAGTTTCCGGATTTAGGTCCGATGCAGTAGTTAGTATGTTCGATGCCTTCGTGGTTCGAACAGGATTTGTGTGCTATGTTTTATGTGTTAAGTATTATGTGTTCCGGGCCA